CGGCGACCGGCGCGCGATTGGCGGAGGCGGGAATGGTCGAGGACGCTTCGTCTACAATAACGAGCGGCGGGTGCATAATACCTTTCTCGGTTGTGGAGGAGAAAATCGCCGCTTCACGACTGCGATGGATCGCGTGGCCGCGCGACAAGAACAGAGACGACCCTTGCGAGGCCAACGCTCCTCTTTCACACATCTTCCATTGTTTGCCGCCTGTGGTTGCTGAGGCCGCTTCCCGCCTGGACTTAAAGGTATTCTCTTCCCGAGTTTCTTTACCGCGGGAGACTCGGCATCTCTTTCGGTGCCGCGTGGAGGACGGCGCGCTGGTGGAGCCGGCACGGCTCCCAATGGGGCACAATGCCGGCCCAGAAACTCTCCAGATCATTATTAGCTCGGCATTCGCGGGGCGACGCCGGTGGTTCGCCTTCTCTGGGCCGCACCCCCATTGGTGCGTATTTGCGTTTTGGCCGATAACGCACGCATTGCAGGGTCGAAAGGCGGCGCGACATTGTGGGAGGCCCAGGTGCTTCGTAATGCGGACACAGTTGTCACGCGTCCTTGGGGGAGGACCGCGAATCGGGCGCCACGCAGCACGCCCTTCTGTGGGCGCAGTTTGATCACACTCACCGGGCGGTGTCCCTGAGTGAAAGGTTTTCCGGGCTGTGCGCGCCATGCCGGCGCTAAATTCCTCAGCCGTCGCGGGAATGGAGGTTGTGGCGCCACGCCTTTTTGTACGCGGCGGCCATTTTTGGCACGCGTTTATGTGCCTACTACTTTTTCATCAAGGCAGTGCGACGACGATCATCCGCACTTAACCGGGGGATTGTGATGGAGACATCCCCGGCAAGCATTCCGCCGGCAGCGGTTGGTTTGGGCGAGGGCTTACGACACATCATCGAGAACATAGTTGCAAGCGAAACGTCAATACCACAGAAAAGACATCGGCCGCCATCATCACGGACGCATCGCTCCGTGGATGGGGAGCTGTTTTCATTCCATACTCCGGCGACGTTAAAACTAGCCGGATGGAAGTGGGAGAAGACCTTTCTTATCATGCAGGCCGAGGCACGAGCGGTCCGCTTAGCCTTATCGGCCTTTTCCGCCATCTTGCCATCCACCATGGACGTTTGGGTAGACAACACCTCGCTGCAAAGAGCGGCGAATAAAGGCAGCTCAGAATCACACTCCATGACGTGGGAGCTGCAACGGATATACGAGTTTTTGGACTCTCGCGGAATACATGCATCCTTTGCCTACGTGCTATTTGCGGGCAACCCCGCAGACGGCATATCACGCGGTCGTGTTTTTGCACCTGAGGACTTGACGAAGGGGTTTAACTTGCGAAGGGCAGCGGCGGGGTCTTGTGGCTGGAGGACCCCAAAGTCTGCCACTTCGTAAGTAAAATATATATACATCCTGTCCGAGTAGAGTGAGCGGACCAAAACTGTGGCTAATGGATGATGTATATATACATACATTTACTTGGTGTAAAGTTTGAGGATGTGGCGAACCCACTCGTATTCCATTTACTTCTCATTTCGGTCTTGTTTGTTTTCTGTGATTGGTAACCTCAGGATGAGGAAAGCGGCCTGGGTGAATATTTATTTTGTGTCACCGCGTGAAGCACTGCCATTCCATTGAAAGAGGGATGGCTGTGTAAATTTTGGTGCCGCGTGACTGGTGGATGGGTGAGGACCCACTTCAACGTGTGGCTGGCGTGGTGGGTGCTCGCTCCGGGTGCGTTGTGTGTTGGCTGCGGGGATGTGGCCGTATCCCGTTGCCCGTGAGAATGTTCTGGAGGCGGTGGCGGTGTGTGCGTTTGTTGTGTGGAGGGCCGAATCCTCCCACCCGCGGACTGACAGCACTGCGGTGTTTGTGTGTTTCAGCGGCGTTGTGCGAGCATGACCTCTTTTAGAGTGTGTGCGGTGACAGCGGTGCCACAGGGGTGTGGGACCGTGACCAGCGGAATGCGTGGGCGAGCCCTCCGTGCGCACCACGTTGTTATTGTAGACCCTCTCCAACACTGTGCTGGGTGGATGTCACCCACTTGCCGTCGTTGCGGTGGTCTCAGTGCATGTGGTGTGCATCCTACACTGTGTGGATGACTCTATTTTTGTGGCTGTCACTCATTTCTCCGCATATTTTATTTCTCTCTTATTTCTCTTTTGATTGCTGGCTAGTGTTCAGCTTTAACTCGATCCAACTAAGAAAACAAGGAGAAACAATGCCTTCAAAGCGCAATAGAGTGCAAGGTGGCAATGCCAAGGGCCGAGCGCCTGCTGTCCCACAGGGAGATTCTTGGAGGGGAGCGAGGTCGGACTTTTAGGGTGACACAGATCAGCCCGCTGCGACCTGCATAAGAGTGGAGGAAGCGCAACTACGGTGGACCATGTGCAGCACCGTGTGCGACATCCTGCTGGACGGAGAGACCGACATTTCCGAGATGAAACTGGATGATTTTCTTTTCTTCGGGAGCATTTTGGCTCCAGGGCAGCTGTTGAAGAACAGAATGTGGGGATGTGGTTTTTTTTGGAAAGCCCCGATGCCTACATAAAAGACCAGCAGCTGCTTGAAGAAATTTCTAATTTAAAGGATTATCAGCTTTTAACAGATATGCGTAAGATTGCGGACGGGCATTTGAACTTTCTCGAAGACTGGATGGACTTTAAAGGGAAGGATACTGTCACTCCCCTTGGAAGGAAAAAACTTAACGATGCCCTCACTCAGATACAGAAAGAAGTAGCAAGGTGGGAGGCAGAAGAAAGGACGAAGCGGAGGCAGAAGAAGATGTGAGGCGGGATACTGAAGAAAAGACAACCAAGCTGGAGGGATTCTACGAGTCTGTGTACGGTGCGAAGTGGGGCCATGTCTTGGGGTTTTATGACGATAAGATTTGTGAGGACCGAATGGAGATACATGAGGGGAACCACCGCAGTCATGGACGTACGAGAAGGAAGGTCTAACTTTCGAAAAGGATGACAGCGTGGAGCAATTCAGACCACCACGTCCCAGGCTGATGGTGCTCACCTCGGACAAGGGATGGCCGTACTCGTGGAGGGAGAATAAACCCATTGTTGACTGTTATGTGAACTGTGAGGTGGATCGAGCGTGGCGAATTGTTGAGGACGATCTAAAAGACAGTTCTTCACCTTTGTCGCGTGTGTTGATTGGGACGCCCGGTATCGGGAAGTCGATGAATGCCGGTTCGTACCTTCTCTACCAGCTGCTGCACTACGATGCCGAGAAAATCCAAGTGGTTGTCCACTGTTTTGATGGACGAGGTGGCCTACGTCTTTGACAAAACCACCAAGACGGTGACAAAATAAGTGGGTATTGGAGAATCTGTGAGTGTTGTTTTGAGTTTGTCGCAGCGTGGGATGAAAGGGTATATAATCTACGATGCGCCAACGAATGAGGCACAGCTGCCGATAAGTTTTGCGCCCTCCACCGGATGGGGGACGATTGTGCTGGCATCCCCAAAGGTAAGGGACATTAATGAGTTTGCGCGTCAACGAGTTCCCCACCGAATCATCATGAATTGCCCCGAAGAGATGGATGTGAAGGCGATGTGTGCATGGATGAAGCGCGATGGGACTCCACAGGGGCAAGAGAAATACTGGAGGATGGTCTGCCATCAACTGAATTTTCTGGGGCCGATTCCGCGTTACATCTTTGATGCGAAAGACTTCAGTAAACGCTATGGTGAACTTGTTCGTGTCTTGAAATCGATTAAATCTCGGGATGATGCAAAACACGTTACACATGGAGGAACGAAGGAATGGTGTCCCGAGAATCCGTTTTACAAACTCATGTGTGTTAAACGAAAAAGAGGAGACTTTGGTACCGAGGCTTTTAAGACCGACTTATTATCTATTCACCTCATGAATCGAGCATTTCCCTTTCTGGAAAAGATAATCCCCTTGAGTGAGATTTGTAGTCTTCAGTAACGAGGAGTAAGAATGCTCTTTTGCGTCTGGAATTCTGGAGAAATATGCTTTGGACGCATTCAGGAATGAGGTCTTTTTCATTAAAATAGCAGAGGAACTCAAGGAGCTGAGGCCGCCAGCACCCCAAAAACCAGTGAACACCGTGCTGAGGGTGACCCCGGAGGACATCCCACCGAGCCGTTCGAATTGTTTCCACTGCAACGCGGACCTAAGAAGATTGGTGTAAAGGACCGGTGGCTAGGAAAATTTCCGCTGGTTGGGCTGCGGATAACTACGGCGTGTCGACATCACAGGAACGCCAGCACTGTGAGGCAGTTCACTGAGTATCCGGCGACATATTTTGATTGGTGGAAGGAATTTGCTCAGGGATTGTCGTGGGAGATTATTCACTTGAAACGGGCAGACATAGTGCTGGTGAGTGGCTGGCAGAGATGTGGTGTCGTCAATTCCAATATTGTGAGCGACGATGAAAGCCGTGAAATAGCGGCATTCTGGAAGGAAGAGGTGCGCCAGTATCAAGTGTAAATACCATCCAGAGACTTTATACAAAAAGAAGCACTCCCAAGTGTGGAAGAAAAACAAAAAAATAGGAAAACAGATTAGGAAATGAAATGTGAATGAGACATTTTGATTTGTGGTAAATTTTTCTTTTTTGGTATAAATATATATATATATATATATATAGACACTTGTGTGCGCATACGTTGCGGGTGCACCAACATCGGGCGGCAGCACAGCACAAAAGTGTTAAGAATTTTCAACGCGAGTGATGATAGCAGTGACAGAAGAAATTAAGTGGGGAAGGGAAATTTATATTTTTGGTGAAAAACATATTTCGAGTTGTTTAATACATGTGAATGTTTGTTTTTTTATACGGCACCGGTGCACCATCCCCTTTGGGAGTAAGACGCACAGATGCCAAAAAATTACAACGCGATATTCCTTCACAACGACAGAAAAACAAATCAGCGGTGCCAGGGGCGTTTTAATTAATGGTAAGAAAATATTGAAGGATTTTTATTTATGTGAATGCTTCTTGTTTGTATACAAGACGTAATAAGAGAATTGCTCTGTTATTAAGGAATTACTATCTTTAACTGTATCGTAGTGTTAATACATTTTCCTTTTTATTCTATTTTGTTCTAGGACCCATCGTTGAGTAAAGCATCTTTAAGGGATAGAAGAAGGGTAGGTTCTATTGAGGAAAAAATGCACTCCGTGTGAACGCATGGAGTGAGGCCCTGCGTCATGGATGGATGGGGAATCAAATTCGCGTGTGGCTCTTTGTGTGGTTGCCTGCTCCGTGTGCGTTGTGTGTTGGCTGCGGGCTGTGGCCGTATCCCGTTGCCAGAGGGATTGAACTGGGGGCGGAGGCTGTGTGTGTCTCTTCTCCTTGTCCATTGGTGTGTGATTGCTGGCGGTGCGCGTGTTTGCTATGTGGAGGGCTGAATCCTCTCACCCGCGGACTGGCAACACTGCAATGGTGTGTGTGTGTGTATGAGGGCTGGTGTTTGGGCGGTGGTTTTCCGTGCCGTTCCTTCCGGATTGTCTTGTGTCCCGCTCTTTGTGTGGGTGCACTGCACTGCTCTCCACTGACGTGTCTGATGTATTGCTGCTGCTTCTTTCTCTTCCACTTCTTGAACACACACACTAGGAAGCAAACAGGCGGTAATCGCTACTGTTCAATTCGAATGCTTCGAAAGGACCAACAACAGAGCACACACCGCCCACACACATATATTTATATGCTCTCAAGTGTTGCTGCTGTGAAGGCACCCCGCACACACAACCGTCGCCTCGTGACCGGATCCAGCGGAAGGAGGAGGGAAGGAAGAGAGAATGAGCCGCAGAGGCCCAACATGTCCCGGCTTGTGTTTGCTTCCGCGGTGCTGCTTTTCCTTTTCGTGTTGATGTGCTGCCGTGGAGCTGCGACCGCTGAGATGGAAAGTAATGCTGATGCTTCAACTTCTGGGTCGGCATTGACGGGTGCCATTGCTGGAGAAGGGAGTGCTTCAGGGGGTGTTGAGGGGCTGCAACGGGTCGATCTATTTGTGCCGCAGACGGCGCAGGTGCTGCCGAAGACGGGGACTGGCTCAAGTTGGAGGGATTCATTTGTTTCACCCTCTCTAGTCAGTGCTGGTGGAGTAATTGCTGCTTTTGCCGAGTGTCACATGGATGCCGAATATCAAGGTGGTCAATTAAGTAAGCCGTCTTTTGATGTTGTTGCGGGGTACATTGACCCTGCGTGGAATTGTTCCACTCTTGTTGGTGAGGTCAATAAAAGGATACATGGAGGGCACACACTGTGGTTGGTGCAGCGGAGGGAGAGGAGGGTTTGGGTGTTGTGCTCCGCCGCACAACAACTACGAAGGGCGACAAGGTGTTTCCTCTTGCGGGAGGCTCTGATGTGTCCTACGAAGGTGTGCGTTGGAGAGAGGGCGGCCTGGAGCTGCAACTGTTGTGGGTGATGTCGCGAATCCCACGGGTGGCAAGCAGAGTGGACGGATCGAATGGGGCGACCCCAAACCACTCCCGAAACGGATCTCTTCTGCTTTTCACAAGGGTGACTGGACGGAGTTCATTGCTTCTGGTGGCTCAGGTGTTGTGATGGAGGATGGCACGCTTTTGTTTTCTCTGATGGCGGAGAGTGAGGCAGAAGACGTTTGCTCCATGATCATTTACTTGAAGGACAACGGCAGTACCTGGGCGCTCTCTGAGGACATTTCCCCTGCGAACTGCACTGACCCCCGCATCACCGAGTGGGAGGGATCACTTCTCATGATTGTTGACTGCGAGAACGACCGGAGGGTGTACGAGTCGCGTGACATGGGGACAGCGTGGACGGCGGCAGCCGGGACGCTTCCAGGCGTGTGGGTCAACTGACAATCGGAGGAATATTCGGAAGGAGGTTTGCATGTGGAGGCCCTCATCACTGCGAGCATTGAGGGAAGGAAGGTCATGCTGTACACACAGAGAGGGCACGCCTCGGGGGAGAAAAGAGCCAATGCGCTCTACCTTTGGGTGACGGACAACAACCGCTCGTTTTCTCTTGGACCGGTTGGCATGTACAATTCTGGGGAGAAGGAGGTCGCCAGCACCCTGCTCTACTCGGATGGCAAGTTGCATCTTTTACAAGGGAGGGGCAGTGGTGAAGGCAGTGCCATCTCACTTTCCCGCCTGACGGAGGAACTGAAGGAAATCGAGTCTGTCCTCAGTACTTGGGTGCAAAAGGACGTTTTCTTCTCCAGCTTTTCTATACCCACGGCGGGTCTGGTGGCAGTTTTTTCAAACGCATCGGCGAGCGATGACACGTGGAACGACGAGTACCTTTGCCTGAATGCAACGGTGAGGAATGCGGTGAAGGTCAAAGATGGATTTAAATTGACGGAGCCTGACTTCAGGGCAATGTGGCCTGTGAACACTTGGGCTAATAATGTGCGTCATGTATTTTTGAGCCACGACTTCACACTTGTGGCGTCGGTGACCATCGAAGAGGCTCCGAATAATAACACTCCTCTACTGTATGCGGCGTTGGGTGACGCTGGGCCCGAGTATTTCATGAGACTGTCGTACACCGCGGATAACAAGTGGGAGACGATGTTCGAAGGCACAAACACAACGACAACAGAGGGCAGCACTTGGGAGCCGAGGAAAGAACACCAAGTGGCACTCATGCTGCAAGGCAACAAGGCCTCTGTGTACGTTGATGGTAAGTCGCTGGGGGAAGAAGAGGTGCCGTTAACAGGTGAGACACCACTTGAGCTTGTTGGGTTTTGCTTTGGCGCGTGCGGTGAGGATGATGATGGGGAGGAGGAGGACAGTCAGGAGGAGTCCAGTCCGGAGGAGATCGGCAAAAAGCCTCGTGTGACGGTGACGAACGTCTTTCTGTACAACCGCCCACTGAATTCCACTGAGATGCGTGCAATCAAGGACAGGATCCCCGTTTCGACGTGAGCTCCAGAACCACAAGTAAAAATTGCTCCTAAACCTGTTGCACCTGCGGTGCTTGGCCCACGGGAATTACCAGCAGCACCGGGGAGGACAACTGTGGGGATAACCGCCAATACCCAACATGCGCCAGCGGGACGCTTGACTACTGCTGGGAATGAAGGGACGGCACGAGAAAAGGGTGATGGTGGGGCAAATGGTGATGCAGGTTCCGCGTACGGGAGGGAACTGCTGCCGCTGCTGCTTCTGCTTGGACTGTGGGTATTTGCGACTGCGTGAGGATTGTGCGGCCTCAGTGTGGGACACTTGCGCCCTTCCTCACACCGACGCACATCCGGTAATGAATTACTCTCCGCAATTCTTTTCTTTTTTTCTCTCCCCCTTTTTTTTCTTTTTGCCTTGGGGCAACCATTATGAACGTTTTTATTTTTTTTATTTTTTTAATGGTTTAATTTGCTCAAATTTTTAATTTTTATTTTTCATTTCCAATCCCTTCTATTTTTTGCTTTTGGGGCAATCACTATGGACTTTTTTCTTTTCTACTCTTACCTCTTTAATTGTTTCTTCTGCACTCTTCCTGCGAGGGGTGCCGTGTGTTTCCGCCCAACTGCTCCACTCGCACACCCACCGACACGCTCATGACGACGGCCCTGTGCGCCTCGCCTGCTGCACGCATGAGGAGGGGCCGCGACGAACGGCGCGCTGAGGGAGCCGTGACGTGT